TGGCAGAGGCCTCCTACTCAGAAATGCAAACAAAGTGACAGGGTCCAGTAAGCAAGCAGCAATCCCCGTGCCGGAGCACCTGTGGGCCCGCGCTGCCAGGTCGGCAGCAGAGACAGGAGGGGTCAGCAGGGCGGCGGTGGGCGAGGGCAAGCCCAACAACCATCTGTTTCAGGGAGAGGAAGGCACAAGTGGGAGGGGCCACAGATGGAGTGAGTGTGGATGCGGCCAGTTGAAAGTGAGATAGGCCATCTCAGAAAGATTTTTTTCAGACGAAGCCTTCATTTATTTTCTCTGAGCTCAATCATTTGGTTCAAACTGGAAGTTTAATCACATGGAAGGTAGACCGGAGAAGGAGAGTTCCATCTCTGACTAAAGAGGAGGCAGGTCAAGCTTCTGTAATTCAGTGTCATGAGAGGGAGAGGAAGAGTTTCTGGAAGGAGGTGACAACATTGTCTCGCCTTTCAGGAAAGGAGCCAGTGAACATGGAGGGATTGAGGTTGATTTAAGGGGTAAGAGTTGAGGGGCAAAGGACGACTGAGGTTGAAAGGGCTTCTCCGAGGAGTCCTTTGTTCCTGGGCAAGATGTTGTTGCTGATGGGTTCAAGGGGAGAAGGAGGGCACGGGTGGGGAGTGGGAGGGATGATGGATTGCTGATGAACCTATGAAGAATGAGGCACAGCAGCATGAAACCATTTGTTTGGGCTTTATAGATTTTCTAATAAAAACGTCAAGGTTTTTTCACACCATTTTGAAAATGTCATCAAATGCAAAACAGTTCTTATGCCAGCGACAAAGGCTGTGCTTCCAAGGTTAAATTCCAGCCCAAGATGCAGTAACACACTTTGTCAGGTTTTCCTCCGGCTCAAACCAGAGGTCAGGCTTGGTCCAGGACCTTTTAGGGTACCCGTTGACCCTTCACAGTAACTGACCCCTCCCAATTGAACCCAGAACTTCCTGGCTGTAGAGTATTTGGGGAGTGATTAAGGGTTAGTGTTAGCCCAGTGTAAACATCCCTAAGAACAGAGACTCCACTTCCAAGCCATGTTTGGGGGGTGAAGGGCTTATTTCCGGGTCTCTGACTCAGGTCATTTCTGATGTAGCATTTAAAAAATCTTTCAGTGGACTTTCTTAACTTAGCCTCTCCTTGCTATCTGTCTCACACACTTCCTCAAAGTAGTTGTTGTTATTATTATTTTAATGCATCTTTAATCCTGTGACAGCCCAGCTCAAGGACCTTCAAAGGCTCTCCTTTGTCCTTTTTTGTTTTCATTTTTATAACATTTTATTTTATTATTATTTTAAAATTTATCTTTATTGTTGAAAGTATTATAGATGTCCCTTGTTTTTACCCCCATTGACCCTCTCCACCCCAATCCTGCTTCCCATCCCAGGCCTCCACTGCACGATTGTCTGTGTCCATGGGCTATGCATATATGCATGTAAGTTCTTGGTTAATCTCTTCTCGCCCTGCCTCCGCCTTTCCCTCTGAGCTTTGTCGGTCTGTTTCCTACTTCCATGTTTCTGGATCTGTTTTGTTTGTCAGTTTATTTTGTTCATTATATTCCGCATGTAAGTGAGATCATGTAGTACTTGTCTTTCTCTGACTGGCTTCTTTCACTTAGCACTATACTCTACAGGTCCTTCCATGCTTTTTCAAAAGGTGAGGTCCTTCTTTTTCACAGTTGCATAGTATTCTGTTGTGTACATGAACCACAGCTTTCTTATCCACTACTTTACAGATGGGCACTTGGGCTGTTTCCAGATCTTAGCTGTTGTAAATAGCGCTGCTATGAACAGAGGGGTGCATATATTCTTCTGATTGGTGTTTCAGGATTCTTAGGATATATTCCTAGAAGTGGGACCTCTGGGTCAAAAGGCAATTCCATTTTTAATTTTTTGAGGAAACGTCATAGTGTTTTCCAAAGTGGCTGTACCAGTCTGCATTGCCACCAACAGTGAATGAGGGTCCCCTTTTCTCCACATTCTCGCTAGCCCTTGTTTGTTCATTCTGGCAGGTGTGAAGTGATATATCATTGTGATTTTAATTTGCATCTCTCTGATAATTAGTGTCCTTGAGCATTTTTTCATGTCTTTTAGACATCTGTATGTTCTCTTTGGAGAAGTGTCATTTAGATACTTTGCCCACTTTTAAATTTGATATTTTGTCTTCCTTTTGTTAAGTTGTATGAGTACTTCATATATTTTTAAAATTAACCTCTTATCATTTAGATGTGTCATTGACAAATATGTTCTCCCATAACAGTGGGATCTCTCTACATTTTGTTGATGGTTTCTTCTGCTGTTCAGAAGCTTTTAATTTTAATGTTGTCCCATTTGTTTATTTTTCCTTTTTCTTTTGCCCTAAGCAATATATTGGTAAAAATTCTGCTACATGAGATGTCTGAGATTTTGCTGCCTATGTTTTCTTCAAGGATTTTTATGGTTTCATGACTTACATTTAAGTCTTTTATCCATTTCGAGTTTATTCTTGTGTATGGTGTAAGTTCGTGGTCTAGTTTTGTTTTGTTTTATTTTTTGCATGTACCATTCCAATTTTCTCAACACCATTTATTGAAGAGACTGTCTTTACTTCATTGTATGCTCTTGACTCCTTTGTCAAATATTAATTGAGCATGATGGTTTGGGTCAGTTTCTGGGTTCTCTGTTTTATTCCATTGATCAATATGCTTATTCTTATGCCACTACCAGGCTGTTTTGATTACAGTGATTTATGTAATGTACTTTGATATCTGGTATTATTATCTCTCCTACATTGTTATTCTTTCTCAAGATTGCTGTGAATATTCGAGGGCTTTTTTGGTTCCATACAGATTTTTGGAGTATTTGTTCTAAATCTGCGAAATATGCCATTGGTATTTTAATAGGCATTGCATTGAATCTATAGATTGCTTTGGGTAGTATGGACATTTTAATGATGTTAACCCTTCCAATCCATGAACATGGTATATACTTCCACTTATTTTTATCCTCCTCTATTTCTTTTTTCAATATCCTGTAGTTTTCTGACTACAGGTCTTTTACTGCCTTGGTTAAGTTTATTCCTAAGAATCTTAGTTTTTTTGCAATGGTAAATGGGGTTGTTTGTTAGTTTCTTTTTCTGAGAGTTCATTATTGGTGTATAAAAATGTCATCGATTTCTTTAGGGTTTTTTATGTACAATATGATGTCACTTGTGAATAATGACAGTTTCACTTCCTCCTTCCAATTTGAATGTCTTTTATTTATTTTTTTCTTGTCTGATCACTGTAGCTAAGACTTCTAGTACTACGTTGAATAAGAGTGGTGAAAGTGGATATCCCTGTTTTGTTTCTGTTCTTGTAGTTTTTGCCCATTGAGGATGATATCGACTGTAGGTTTGTCATATATGTCCTTTATTCTGTTGAGGTATGATTGCTTTATTCTCACTTTGCTGAGAGTTTTTATCAAAAATCGATGCTGGATTTTGTCAAATGCTTTTTCTGCACCTATTGATATGATTATATTATTTTTATCTTTCATTTTGTTCATGTGATGTATCACATTTATTGATTTGCAAGTATTGTACCAGCCTTTTATCCCTGGAATAAATCCCCCTTAGTCATGGTAAATAATCTTTTTAATATATTGCTAGGTCTGATTTGCTAATATTTTGTTGAGGATTTTGGCATTTATGTTCATCAGGGCTATTGGCCTTTAACTCTCTTTTTTTGTAGTGTCTTTATCTGCTTTTGGAATTAGGATAATGCTGGCCTCCTGAAAAGAGCTTGGAAGTCTTCTTGAATTTTTTGGAATAGTTTGAGGGGTATAGGTGTTAGTTCTTCCACAAATGTTTGATAAAACTACACTGTAAAGCCATCTGGTCCAGTTTCTTTTTCTTTTCTTTTTTGTTGCTGGGAGTTGTTTTATATTACTGCTTCAATTTCATTTGTTGTTATTGGTCTATTCAGGTTTTCTGATTCTTCTTGAGTCAGTTTTGGAAGATTGTATTTTTCTAAGAATTTGTCCATTTTGCCCAATTTGTTGACATATAGTTGTTTGTAATATTTTGTTATGATCCTTTGTTTCTGTGATGTCAGTTGTTACCTCCCCTCTTTCATTTCTGATTTTATTTATTTGGGTCCTCTCTCTTTGTTTTTTGATGAGTCTGGCTAGAGGTTCATCATTCTTGTTTATCTTTTCAAAGAACCAGGTTTTGGTTTCATTGATCATTGTATTTTTTTTAAGTCTTTATGTCATTTATTTCCACTCTGATCTTTATTGTTTTCTTTCTTCTACTTACTTTGGGCTTTTCTTGTTGTTCTCTTTCTAATTCTTTTAGTTGTAGGATTAGATAGTTTATTAGAGTATTTTCTTGTTTCTTGAGGTAGGCCTGTAGTGCTATGAACTACTCTCTCAAGACTGCTTTCTCTGTGTCCCACAGATTTTTGGTTATTGTGTGTTCATTTTCATTTGTTCCCAGAAAGTTTTAAATTTCTTCTTTGGTCTCATTGGCAACCCATTCATTGTTTAATAACATGTTATTTAGCCTCCATGTGTTTGAATGTTTTTGAGTGTTTTTATTATAGTTGATTCCTAGTTTCATGTCATTGTGATTTGAGAAGATGCTTAAAATTATTTCAATGTTTTTGAACTTATTGTGTGTCCTAATTTATGGTTTATCTTTGAGAATGTCCCATGTGCACTTGAGAAGAATGTATATTCTGCAACTTTGGGGTGAAATGTTCTGTAAATATTAATTAAATTAATCTGATTTAATGTATCATGTAGGGTCACTGTTTCCCTGTTGATTATTTGTCTGGAAGATCTATCCAGTAAAGTCAGTGGGGTGTTAAATTTCCCTGCTATGACTATAGTACTGTTGATCTCTCCCTTGAAGTCTTTCAAGAGTTTTAAAATATATACATATATTTTTCAATAAAAGAGAAACTTTACTGAGGTTCCAGAGTCACAGAGTTCAGGCAGAAGGCTGCCTTGTGGGCCTGAGGAGGTGGTAGAGGAATCTTATTTAACCTTCTTCTTGGGGTGAAGGTTGTTGGTGTGGCCGCACTTCTTATGGCAATTGACACCACGGGGGTACAGGTGGGCATAACACTTGCAGCAGATCATCTTATCACAGTGGTACTTCTGGGTAAGCTGGTGGAGGGAGAGTTCAATGATGCCACTCCTCAGACAAAGCACCAAGTGCAGGGTGGACTCTTTCTGAATATTGTAGTCTGAGAGAGTGTGGCCATCCTCTAGTTATTTGCCTGCAAAAATCAGATGCTATTGGTCAGGTGGGATGCCCTCCTTGTCTTGGATTTTAGCCTTGACATTCTTAGTGGTGTCACTGGGCTCAACCTCACGGGTGATGGTCTTGCCAGTCAGGGTCCTCCCAAAGATTTGCATCTCTGCATCTGCTGGGGAGGCTGGGACAAAATAGTGAGTACTGCATGCCCACCTCAGTGCCTGTTTCCTTCCATCCCTCCAAGCTCACATGAACACCACCACTGACCTTCTCTAAAATATATTTAGGTGCTCTAATATTGAGTGCATATATGTTTGCCAGGGTGATATCCTCTTGTTGTACTGATCCTTTTAGTATTATGTAGTGACTTTCTTTGTCTCTTGTTCTAGCTTTTGCTTTGAAGTCTATTTTGTCATATATAAGTGTTGCTACCCTTCCTTTTCTTTGTTTCCATTTGTATGGAAAATTCCCCCCCCCTCACCCCTCACTTTCATCCTGTGTGAGTCTTTTGTTCTGAGGTGGTTCTCTTGTAGAGAGCATATATATGGGTCATGTTTTCTTATTCATTTAGCTACCCTATGTCTTTTGCTTGGAGCATTTAATGCATTTACATTATCATTATTGTTGAAGGATACTTATTTATTGCCACTTTAATTCTTTATGACTATGTTTCTCACTCTCTCTATTTCTTCTTATTATAGCAGTCCATTTGACATTGCTTTCAATGCTGGTTTTGAGGCAATAAACTCCTGTAGCCTTTTTTTGGGGGTGGGGGCAAAGCTGGGAAGCTCTTTATTTCACCATATATTTTGAATGGTAGCCTTACTGGATAGAGTAGTCTTGGTTTCACATCCTTGTTTTTCATTACCATAAATAATTCATGCTATTCCATTCTGGTCTATAGTATTTCTGTTGAGAAGTAAGCTGAAAGCCTTATGGGAACTCCTTTGTAGATAATAAATTTCTTTATTTTTGCTGCCTTTAAGATTCTCTTTGTGTCTTTAACTTTTGGCATCTTAATTATGATGTTTCTTGGCATGGGCCTCTTTGGGTTCTTCTTGCTTGTGACTCTCTGTATTTCCTGAACTTGTATGACTTTTTCCTTTACCAGGTTAGGAAAGTTTTCTGCCATTATTTCTTCAAACAAATTCTTTATTCATTAATTACTTTCTCCTTCTTCTGGTATTCCTATGATGTGGATATTTTTATGTTTCATGTCCCACAGCTCCCTTAAACTGTCCTCCTGTATTTAATTTTTCTTTTTGATTCTCTGATTGTGAGATTTTTTTCTATTCCATCTTCTAAATCACAGATATGATCCTCAGCCTCCTCTAATCTGCCATTTATTCCTCCCAGTGTATTCTTTATTTCTGCTATGTCATTCTTCATTTCTGACTGGTTGTTTTTCATAATTTCTATGTCTTTTTTGTACTGTTGAGCATCCTTATAATCATTACTCTGAACTCTATAGCTGATAAATTGCTTATCTCCATTGCATTTAGCTTTTCTTCTAGAGAATTCTATTGTTCTTTCATTTGGGACTTGTTTCTTTGTCTCCCCATTTGACTGCCTGTTTAAGTTTGTTTCTATGTATTAGGTAGATCTGCTATGACTACAAATCTTGGTAGTGTGGCCTTAAGTAGTAGGTGACCTGTGGGAACCTTTGGTGCAATCTCACTGATAACCAGACCTGGGTGCTCTAATAAAGTCCTTTGTTCATGTTGTGTGGCCCTCATGTTGTAATGGAGTTTTGATTGATATTGGCCCATTTATACATGGCCTCAATCCTCAGGCTGGCTGACAGTGAGGCTCAACTGCCAACACCATGCAGGCAGCTGGAGAGGTGTTATCACATGAAGTGAAAATCGACTCAGCAGGGTTTGGAGCCTGCCAAGATGTACATGTGGATATACTGCTTGTGAAGCTTATTGGATCCTGCTCTGCTGTTGTCTGGCCACTGGGTTTATTGGTTTTGGGCCTCTTCGTAGGGTCTCTGGTGCAGACCAATGTCAGATGCTATTTGTGACTGGCTCTGAGTATCCTGTTTGGGGCTGTCAGTGATCCACAGCTTGTGTCTTTCTCTGCTGGGGTTCAGTGTGTGTGAAAAGAACCAAGCTGCCCACTGAGGTCTGCTTTTACTAGCCTTGGGCCCAGGAGCAGGGCAGGCAAAGACTCAAAGCATGCAGAAATCTGTCTCTGCCTGCAGGCTGACTGTTAGTCTCAGTCACTTAATGAGCCTCGGGCTGTAGTCTTCAGCAGTGCATAAAGTCCATGGGGTGGGGTGAGAGGGTTTCCAATGGGTGGAACTATTGCTCCCTCCCAGGCTAAAGTTGCCTGGATGGTAAAGTTCTGCCTGCAAAAGATGGCTACTGCAGCATGGGAGAATGACTCCGCACAGGGATCCTGGCAGCTGTCCTCTCAGCTCTCTCCCCAGAGCCACCAATCCCAGACTCTCATCATGCAGCTCTAGTCCACACTGCCTTCCCTCTGCCAGAGCCCAAGGAGAGTGGCTGAAAATGCAATTAAGTGCATTGACCCTTTAAGAGGGTGCCTATGTTTCTAGCCACCTCTTGGCGTCAGACAGATTCTCCAGTTCTTTTCACAGCCAGATGTTATGTGGACACCTTTCCTGGTTCTGTTACTCGGGGCTGAGGAGCCCAGATTGGGGTTTAGACGCAAGACTTCTCAGGGGGAAACCTCCACAGCGGAGATATCCCTTCAGCATGTCAGCTGCTGCCGTGGGAGCCCAGCCAGTCCTCTCATGCCTCCACATTTCCCACCAGTCTTGATGTGCGCTCCTCTTCTTCTTCTTTTTAATTTTAATTTTTTAATCTTCTCCCAAGGATATTTTTCTGTTTATCTTCAGATAGAGTGGGCAGGAGAGAAAGGGAGAGAAAGAGAAACATTGACATGAGAGGGACACATCAACTGGTTGCCTCCTGCATGACCCCGACCAGGGCCCAGGATGAACTGCAACAAAAGTACATGCCCTTGGCTGGAATCAAACCCACGACTTATTGGTTTGTGGGCCAACACTCTACCGCTAAGCCAAATCAGCCATGGCGATGTGTGCTCCTCTTTATGTTCTTGGTTATAAGGGTTCTCTCCAGCTAGTTTTCAGTTGATTATTCCGGATGATTTCTTTATTTTTTTTTTTTCTTTTTATCCTTACCCGAGGGCATTTTTGCATTTATCTTCAGATAGAGTGGGAGGGAGAGAGGGAGGAAGAGAGAGGAAGAAACATTGATGTTAGAGAGACCCATCGAGTGGTTGCCACCCACATGACCCCAACCGGGGCCAGAGACAAACTACATCTGAGGTACGTGCCCTTAGTGGAAACCGAACCCGGGACTCTCCGGTTCGCAGGCCGACGCTCTAACCACTGAACCAAACCAGCCAGGGCTCAGGATGATTTCTTTATATTTTAGTTATAATTCCAGTTTGAACCTGGGAGAAGGTCAGTGTAGCTTCCACTTAGTCTGCTGCCATCTTGGAATCTCCCCATTTTTATAACATTTTAATATTTTTAATTGATTTTAGAGAGAGGAAGAGAGAGGGAGAAAGAGAAACATTGATTCGTTGCCTCCTGCATGCTCCCTACTGGGGATTAATTCCACAACCTAGACATGTGCCTTAACTGGGAATCAAACCGATGACCTCTTGGTGCATGGGACATGCTCAACCAACTGAGCCACACCAGACAGGGCATTTTTAAAAAAATATTTTATTCTATTTTTTTAAAATATGTTTTTATTGATTTTAGAGAGAGAGGAAGGGAGAGAGAGAGAGAAACATTGATGTGAGAGAGAAACATTGATCAGCTGCCTCCTGCATGCCTCTTACTGGGGATCGAGCCTGCAACCCGGGCATGTGCCTGACCAGGAATCAAACTGGGACCTCTCAGCCCATGGGCCACCCTCAAACCACTAATCCAGACCAGCTGGGCTAAAATTAACCCAAGAACCCAAAATATTATCATTGCAAAGTATAATCCACATCAGAATGATGAATAAGATATATTCTTTCTTCATACTGAGCTTCAAAATCCATTGTGCTTTTATAGTTACACTACATTTCAATTTGGAAGTTATCAGATATACTTAATCTGTGTTTAATTTTCATAAGTTTACAGTTATAAATGAAGATTCACAAACCAAGTTGTCCAAACATACCTTAAAAATTTCCAATAACTTAATCAAATATCAGTTTTTGGAGCTGAATTTACACTAATTAAATTGCAATCAAATTATAAAGAATCCTATTCTTTTTAACACAGAGTAGTAGCCTTTTCCCTTTGTCTTTTAAATTAAGTGCAAACTCTTTTGACAGGCTTCCTTAATCCTATTTCCCTTCAGCCTTATCTTTCGTAACTCCTGGGCATATTCCCCAAACTCAGCCAACCCCCCCAGCCTTGCCCCTCCCAGCCAGCCCTCACGCTCTCCCCTGCCATGTCACCCCCCCCAAGCATTGCCCTTCACACCATCTTTGCCTATTAAAATCCTGCTGTTCCTCCAAGATTGAGCTCAGAAGCCACTTCTTCCATGAAATCTTTCCTGATATTCTCAACTGTGAGTCTGTCAACTGTGATTTCTTCTTTCTTTTTATCCTTCAAAGCACATTGGAACCTCCAATTAATCCACTTCCACATGTATTCTAGTCTAATCGAGATGCCCATCTCCTTGGGCTGAAGTACGAAACTGCCTCACCCCTTCCCCCCACCGCCTGCAGTCCGGTTTCCCCTGGTTCCTCTGTGGGCCCCACGGTTAGGGAGGATCGTAAGCATTGAGTTTAGAAGGGATCGTCTTTTGGTTCATCTCTATTAGGTTTCCTTGATCTAGTCTCACATATCAAATGTACTGCCTCACATTTGGCTTCCGTTGATGTCTCTTTCCGAGGCCCAGGAGCAGAGACCAAGAATGGACTTGCAGACATGCTATCTTCTTTCCCTGGTCAGTCCTCTGCAGCTCGAACGTAATAAATTCAAGGTCCCACAAGACGGAGCGTTTCTGAGGGGTTCTGTGGCACTCCTGGGATTTCTAGTGGGGCTTACTCCCGAGGGGTCTCTAGTGGCATCCTAGCCCAGATTTCCTCGTGGATCCTCTGAGCATGAAGGGTAGTAAACACTGGAAGGGGCTCCTTCCCAGGATCAAAGCAAACATAG